AAAGCAATGCAGTAATCATATTACCTTGCAGTTCCCTATAATGTCCTATGGACAGCAATTAACCTCTATATAATTTTGACTGCAACTGAATGCAAGTAATGCAAATCCAATCACTATAAATTCTGAGAGAGGTGAGGATAATTATGGGAATCGCTGTCTAAGCAGTCGGTTCATTTAGCATTACCACTAAGAGGCTACCACCTACAAAAATCCCCTTTAGCACCTTTTTCCTTCCATAACTGCAATACATGAAGATACTTGAAAAGAACATGAGGAAAAAACATGAAAGTTAAATTCAAACACTTGTATAACGACGCATTACTTTTCTGTAACATATTTTCGAAATGTGTCTAATGAATCTACATTTTAAAACAAATGTATCATAAAAAAACTTACTGTATGCACAAAGAAAATTTTGAAGTTCTTTGGTTCAACTCGAAGTTCGGGGCTCCACGGAATCTCCCCTTTCAGTATCATGTTCACAGGGTCCACATAATAAAGATGAGGTCCCAGCGTCAAGAGAAGCATCCTTCGTCGTGCAAACAACCCCTGCACCTCAAAGAAAAAGATAACTTGTAGAAATTCAAGGAATACGCGGACAAGAACTAAAGTCTACGACACAATATTTGAGGAACAGACTGTGGTAATGAATGCTTTTAATCTGTGTATGCTGCAGCGCTATTCTGACCAATAATCCCACATGTGAAAATTCAATTTCAGGCTGTGTCCAAATGTACCAGTCTCAAACACAAGTTTCTATTTTGTTATGGGGTATTTCTGAATAACGTATTTAGCATTCAAAAAATATGGCAATTTTGTTGTCTGTGGTCTTCTGGGTTGTGACACTGCGCAGTCTTGTAGGTGGCTACAAACATTTTTTTGGAGAACGGCAGCAAGTTCTTATTAGAATTCATCTGCTTTGAAGATGAACGTGATATGTTCCTTCAAAGCAATAATAACCACCTAAAAGGCTACGCAGCATCACATCTTGAACAACTTCAATTGGGTCAATCCACCAGCGGCACTGAGGAGAAAAAGGATCATACTGACATAACCTTACTCAAAAGACGCGTCGATTCGACAGTCCCAGCCTCATAAATTACAGCACCGCGCATGGCCATCGGGACTGAAACAGAAAGTGTATACTAAGTACTACGCCCCCATCCTGCACCACGGATACCACATTTGGACACAGCCTTTTACAAGTCACTCTTCCAGAGATTGATAAAAGTCCCTCATTAAGTTTTCAGTCCATCAGTCAATACACATTAGCCAGTAACATTCAAAACACTGAAATTCTTTTCCTTTCTTTCGAGGTCAAATACGAAACAGACATTAATAATTAGACAGGGTTACACAGAGAAAAGAACAATCATATATTGATTAAGACATCACCTTAGCTACCATAAGCGGCCCATCCACGTACGAGTCCGGCTCAGCACGGGTTCCATTGAGCCAAACTCGTATGTGGCTGGAGTGTCACGAGCCGAGTCTGCTACACGTGTGTGGTGAAATATATCCGAGCCCCAGCTCACAAGTCAAGCTCGCCGAGCCAGACTAGTACGTGGATGGGCCGCTTTAGAGCGTGAAAAACATTACTTAGCCATTCTTACGCTTCAACGTACAGAAAATGGACATACAGCAACAGCGTGAAATTGCGGTCTTACCTTCCTTTTGTCAACTAGACCCTGCTTGAGAATCAGGTTTCCTTCTACAAGGTTGTGCCATTTGCTATTATCCTTTTGTTTCTCTAATTGTAGGTGGACTTCATCAGGACTCAAGTCTGTGAGTCCAGCTCGTTTACGGGGACGCTCCGGTGGATCGGGGGTACGCTCTGCACCTTGCAGATCAAGACCCAGGAGCCGAGTTAGCTGCTTGTCATCCAACCCCGGTTCTAAATGGTCTGGTACCTGCACACACAAAAGAAACCCTTTGAAATTACTATTTTTACATATAAGGTGATACAAATTTATAAAATGAGACTATACTCATCAATGTAAGCAGAGCCTCTATGTTCACATTAGTATAATAAATAATGCCCCGCTTAATGGTACCTGCACGCTGTCATGGTGGTGGGGCTTGAGTACCTCAGTGAACCCCAAGAGCTACTGGTAGGGCCTCCCTAGCCAGATTGGTCGAGGGAGAGAGGTCAGACTAAGACAGGTACCCTGGTCCTCCAGGTTGGGGGGTTGGTCGCAAGGCTAACAACCTTGCACCGTAAAAAGGAAGATGTTTCAAAACCTCAATCAAAGTCTCGGACAGACGGACCTAACAGAGGACCGAATGGAAGGGGAGAATTGAGGAGGCCATGGACCGAATACGGACCGGAGAGCCATAGAAGAAGAAGAAGAAGAAAATAAATAATGAAAACAACTGATAATTTACTGCAGAAACAAGAGTAATCAGTGGTACATTCAGGCCGCAAATGACAAGCTGTAAGCTTACAAGAGACTTGTATGTCACTCACCCTGTAATGACTTCGAAGCTCCTCGTGTTCTGACGTGCCAGGCAGATAGGGGTAGATTTGAGGTGGTGTTTGTTCATGAAGAGTCTTGAAGTCTATGCCAGCAAAGAAGGGATGTGAACGAAGAGAAGGATAACCGACTGAATCCGATGATCCCAGCCTCTTGCTCGGGTCCAGAACCTACAAGACAATGATACAGTTTAGAAAACCAACAAAATAATTACCCCCACTTTAATTAACACATTTCACAGATCTATACAGCAAATGCAGTACACCTGCACTGAAACTAAGGACACAAATGCAAAGTTTGTTCAATCACTGCCAACGTAAAAATTTGATACCAAGTGTGGTGAAGATCACCGAAATATCAAATTTGACGTCGGGGACGAGCCATGCCATCACGACACTGAACTCATTCATAAATGTTAACGTGATTTCAGATATAAAAAGTTATGCTTGCTTACCAACAGCTTTTCCACAATACTTCTTGCTACAGGCGCAAAACCATCGGGAAACTCATATTCAAGCTTCAATATTTTCTGAAATATTATGTATTCACTCCTAGAGGGGGGGAAGAAAAGAAACAAATAAGTAAAACATTCACACAACAGGCTAATTGTATCACTGTACGTTTGAAAAACACATCTCAAATACTCGGTTGCAACGCAGATTCCTACCTGGAGCGGAACGGAGGCAAACCAGAAACCATTTGGTATATTATACACCCAAGGGCCCAGAGGTCTGAGCTGCGGGACGCAGACTTCTCTGTCAGAAGTTCAGGAGAGACGTACTGTGCAGTTCCCACAAAGCTGTTCCTCCTCCGCAGATGCTTACCATCATCCTCACCTATAAAATAAAGAAACGCTGAACCAGTTTGCAAAAAGAAACTAAAAATTCTTCATAGCAATAACAGAACATGAAACCTCTTGCATAATTTTCTTTTCACTTTATCCATCACCTAGACCAGTGGTATTCAACCTGGGGTACGCGAAGACATCTTAGGGGGTACGTGAAATTTAAAAAATATATATATATTTTTATGATAAACACTGAATAATCAGTAATGTAATTTATTTTAGATGTAGATTATATACTATGTATAACTTGAATTATAGCAGCATAACTTTTAATAAGGTACTTGCAGGTTGTTGTCGAGACACGTCGCTTTAAAAATAGGTTAGGTTAGGTTAATGTGTGGATAAATGCCATATACTTGAAAGTTATTATATTTTATTTCAATAGATGAAAACCAACCTAACCTAACCTATTTTTAAGGTGTGTCCCGATAAATAAATAAATAAATATTACAACACTGCAACATAAAATGCAGCACAGCACACTGAATCTTACAATATTCTGCCACATATAAGCGTGGAAGATGATTAAATACACATTTAGGCTGCGTGCTACTTGCCACAACTACAGCAAGGATTTATGTTCACATTAGATCAGTGCATACAAACAAAATCTATCCTTACCTTCATTCGTGGGTTCATTTAGTATTTTAGATGATCCAAAATCTGTGATTAGTATATGCATGTTTTCGTCCAGAAGAATGTTTTCTGGCTTCAGATCCCTATAAATGAAAATTACATATCAGAAACTGCTCCTATGGTATGGAGGGATCTTCTAGCATCTACTCGGCTTCTTACTCTGTAGATTTAACCTATGAAGGCCATCTAAAAGGACACATTTTTTATCTCCCTTTGAAAGTGGTCCAGCACTTAACGTCTTATTACGTAGCCGATGTATAGTTCCCACCTACGTAATGACAACAAAGTGCCTAATAATGCAATCCGACTCATGAGGCAAGATTGCATCTATTCTGGGCGACATAAAGATGGAGTCATTTTTTTCGTATCCAGTACACACCATTAAGCATGGTGTGCATTGGTGGTTAGCAGGATTCACGACCAACCAGTACATGGGTTCGACCAGGACCGCGACATTTAACGCTCCTGCTGTGACCCCCCTTTTTGCGAGATGATGATGAAAGTGGAGTAATTGTTGTGATGCCACGGAGAAACCCCGGAGGAAAACTCCGTGATGCCTGGACCACGGCCTTGCCCAACACAAGTTGTAAATCTCAGCACCGCCGGGAATCGAACCCGGGACCCCAGTATTACACGCCCAGCGTTCAAACCTCTAGACCACCGTGGCGGTAGATGGAGTCATGAAGCCGTTATATTTTAAGCTGTCATCAAGAGGGGACATGAGAACGTTAATCTTTGAACTATAAAGCAACTGCTACACGCTATATCCCATTTTACACTCCTTGACTTCAGCACCCTTAAAGTAATAAATGTAAGAATGACAAAGTCCATCATTTTGCATAGAACGTAAATAAACCAGTAAAAAAAACACTGGAAATCCTTCATTAATTACAATTTTGTCCATCAACGCATTTATAACGGGTCTCCAATTTATGAGTTTACGGTCATGCTTACATTGCGTTATCGGCCGCTGCTGTTGACGTAGGCGGGTCTTTGACGCGTGAGTCACGGGCGAGTCAGTTTCGGTGCCGCTAGTAACAGCGAACTACGAATATTTCTCGTCACTAATACATGTTATTACATTAATTGTTTTTACCTTAAATCACAAAAAGAAAATATTCGACAATTTCCCAAGAAGAGCTTCGTCGAGTATTTCGAAACGTGTTAACGAGATGTGAAACTTGCTTGCAAGCACAAGGAAGTCACTTTGAACGTCTTTTGTGATTTAAGGTAAAAACAATTAATGTAATAACATGTATTAGTGACGAGAAATATTCGTAGTTCGCTGTTACTAGCGGGACCGAAACTGACTCGCCCGTGACTCACGCGTCAAAGTCCCGGCTACGTCAACAGCAGCGGCCGATAACGCAATGTAAGCAAGACCGTAAGCTCATAAATTGGAGACCCGGTAGTAACAAAATTTAATTCCTCTACAGTTTTAATTCTCAAACCATTACCAGGTCAACTTTTATTTCTGGAATTCTTACAACAGGAAATACAAATTGCTGCGTATTATATCAGTAGCTACTGATAGCAGTAAATCAAAATCAAAATTAATTTTAAAGTACCAGAATTATTCTAGATTTTATGCGTAACCACCGTAGCTCACCTGTGGATGATGCCCAGACTGTGCAAGTGTTCCAGTGCTACAAGCAGCTCGGCGGCATAGAATTTCGAGCACGTGATATCAAACGAACCCACTTTGGTGATGTAAGGAAGTAGCTCCGAATTCTTGGCGTATGTCAACACGAAGTCTGAGACACATTATTAAGGAAAGCATTTCCACTTCATACAAAAGACACGCACAATACGCAGTTCGAGGCATGTATTACGAAAGACTGTGGAAGTTTCGGGTTTAATTTTTGTGCTCGCCCAAGTTCTACTGGTCCAAGTAAGTGAATGAAATAATGAGAGACAAACAACGAAAGAAGATATATATATATTAATTACTGGTGTTAAATGTTTGAACATCGAACAAGTTCAGAAAATGTGCGCAGCTTAACATTCTAGAATGTTCTCCATTAGTGCCCTTGGATTTTCAATTTGCGAATGCAAATTTTTTATACTCTTCTTATGAATAGCATAAAATAGACAAAACAATTATCATATACATGATTTTATAAGGATAAATACGATATTTCTCGAGTTATAAAATGTGTTTCAATTTTCTTAACTTCAATTTAAAAAACCTCCGACATATATTTGGTGACTTAAACACAGGTGATGCAGTGGAAAATGCTTCAGTCCGTCTGGCTGTGACGCCAAACCACTAAAACTGGGCATAAAATAAATGTTTTACTATATAATACAAATGCAGCACGGTTATTTGTCATTGAAGTTATGCTGGAGACGTCCTCATCGGTGCATGCAGGTCATGCCTAATGTTAACCAAAATCTGAATGTGTTGTCAAATTTCGTTAAAAACTTCGTGAAAATCTGTTCAGCATTTCTTGACTGCCTTTACGTCTTTATAATGAAAGACATAACAAAATTAGGTGCAATTTTGCGTAATTTTATTGCAAATGTTTGGAACGAGATGCAACACCAAGGATACAAAGTCTCTCCACGTCCTGGAAGGTGCACTGAAGCTTCACGAAAAATGGAACCGAAGGCTTGTGGTTCAAGCTCAGAAGGTTGAGTACTTCTTTCTCCCTTCTTATATACTGTCCCTTCCTCTCTCTCAGTATGTGGCGCTTTTCACAAACTTTAACTGTGAACAAAGGAAACAGTGAAACACCAAAACAGAACCATCAGTTTAAACTGTGGTTATTGGTCTCTTGGTTTGTAACTCTGTATGGATTTGTAGGTAAATACCAAAGTTTCAAACAAACAGTAGCCCTGAAGATGGCAGCAGTTCCTTCAAAACGTTGGCACCTACCTACAAAGCCACATGGTGTGCAATGACCCAGATGACCACCTCAAGCAATATTTACCACCGTACGAAACTCAAACAATTTGTTAAGCTCGCTCTGGAGATTTGATGCTGATATACTACACATCTTGGGCGAATAAGCGACCGGTTGACCCAGTTGGGCGTCCTTGGGAAATGTCACCGGTTTAACAGTTCTCTTAAAGAATAAACTTCACACCACACGCAGATCAACCGGGTAGGGAGTCGGCAGGTCAGTTCAGCATGTCCTCCTCCTCCCCCCTTCCTAAGCCCGAACTGCCCTCCGCAACCACAACACGACTCAAATGCTGGTGTGAATGCAGCCGTAACAAGTACAGTGGAACCTCGCAAAAAGAGACTTTCGGGAGGGCAGCTTCAATACCCGCGTAAAATTTAAAACATATGTAATCGTATTAGGGGACATGATCACAGCCGCGGTATATTGAGGTTCCACTGTAGCTCAATGTGGGTTCTCAGATTCGAATTACACTGAGCACTGAGATAACAGAACCGACTGAATATGGAGGGAGATCATGCGAAAGACGATCCAAGTAGCAAAGCAACCAGCATCATAATCGTCACCACAGACTACACCCTTCTCCCTCCGCCACGTGCAAATAAAACACACAGGATTAAGCGAAGTCGCGTTAACCTCTCCAAGGGGCATGGGCGCCGACTTCAATTTCTTAAGCAAATCTTTTAAAATCCTCCTCTAACTCTGAAGACAAGAGGCTTCGGTGCCCAACATTAACAAAATCTGGAATGCGTAAAAAAAATTGCTAACACTCGAGCATAGCAAATTTTATTAAAGGCAGTTCACCTGTACCCAAGTTGCACGTGGAATGACACGGAAAAGCTAACAGTGCGCATTCCTTTTAACCCGTGCGTAACTGTGAACGCGACCAAATACGAGCTGAGTCAGCAGAAGAAAAAGAACTGTCGACTTACTTGCGCATTCCTTGCCGTTGTGGATATCCTTCGCCAGGTACACAGTGGAAAAGCTTCCTTCGCCAATCACTTTGCCGAATATGTAATCTCTGTGCGTACGTTTAGGCGCCTGCCCCATGCCATGACGATTAGTCTGTTGCTCGGTCGTGTTGTGGTGGTTTGTGTGACCCTGCTGCCATCTGATGGGAGTGTTATCATGAACAGGGGGGTTAGTATCGACGCGTGGGGGCGTCATTGTCACTGTCAGCACAGCCTGTTCGGTAGTCACGAGGTGCTGCTGGGTTGGTGGTGGTGGTGGTAGCGCGGCTTGAACTCGCTGCAACAGAAGAAACACAGAAGTCAGACGGACGATTGGCCTCAACAGCGCAACACCCCACAAAAGGGGAATAAGTCTCACCCAGAATAAAAAAAACACGAAGTATCTGTAACAGCGTCAGCCAAAATAATTTAATATCTGCTTCATCTCTAACTATTCTGCAATGCTCGACCCACTTTTTTTGAAGACGAGTGCCAGGATTTCCGACTGCAAAGACGAACCATTCACACAAGCCGGGTGGGCGGGGAGTCACTCACAACTGTCAACATGGGTAAATGACGGCGATGATTAACGGAATTCAGACCAACAACCACGATGTCACGTCCTTTCAAATTTATAATCACAAACATTCTGTGTCAAATGATCAACGCACTTCATGACGGAGCTCGGATTCCTCTTCCATCCCTTCTCTCAGAAAAGGAACTACTTCCTCCTCCACTAAGAAGCCTTACTTTATCTCTTCTGATAGCCGCCACGTTGCAATCGCACCTTTGGCAAAATTAAAGCGATCGAATGATTTGTACGGAACGTGGTTCCTTCGCATGCCAAACACAGTTGTTAACAGTGTGTAGAACAATTCTGAAGAGCACAGCAAAACCATCGTAAGATAAAATGTGTGTACAATAAAACTGCTTACCCTACCTTGAACTACTTGCACTTTCTGCTGTCCCAATTCTACCAGGATTCGGAATAACCTCCCATTTTATATTTGAGTTGAATTAATACTTCAACAGCCCTCAAAACAAACAAGAAAAATACTTTTTGACAAACAGACTGACACAACAAAATCTTTGTGGGGGTGAGATTTCCCCCGGCCGTGAAAACCAAACCAGGGGGCTAACCCCTACCGCTGTTCCAGATTTTCAAGATTCATCGGTCCAAGAATGCATGCCTGTCCTCGATTCTGGTGAGTAATAAAAATATATTCCCGTTGTTTGCTCGCAAGCGAAGCCGATGACCCCTCATGATTCTTACACAATCACGCGGCTCTCCAAGCCTACAGTAAACAACAACAGCGACAAAGTCCGGAGGTCGCGGTGACTAATATAAACACCATTTGATTTCATCATGACGAAGTTTCGTGTCGCAATTTCACACAGATCTCAAGCAACATTATACCGTTCCTCATTTGCTGCCAAACCAATAGCTTATAATCAAATGAAAAGTATAAATATAAATGAAGTGGCAGCACTAATGAGGTAATAATTCAATTATCAACATGTGGGACCAAACTAATTGGCAGATGAATATTCTATGACAACATAATACGAAAAGAATACACAATAGCAAGGACCTGAACTTAGTACATGCATTACAGCCAATATTCACTGTTCTGAGACAGAAAGCTGACAGATCCATGACGCAGAGTCCTAATTGGGATCTAGCCAAGAAACTCACGACAAAACCGAAAACACGGGGGCTATGCTGTTATATCCGTGTCTGGAGGCCGTCCGTCATCCACAACTCTGAGGATGCGACGCATCGGTAACGATGCGGCCAACAAAGTCGGAAAATTTGTATGAAATTAGATCAGAATGGTTGCAGCGAAACAAGATCGCTTGGATTTTAATTCGATTATGAACAGGCCTACCTCAAGTTCCCGACACAATTCAAAATAACCTTTCTCGCCCATGCACACAGTACAAACCTTATACACATTTGCCTTTCTGTTCGCCAAATAACTACCTCGTACGATATCCAGAACGTAATGCATATCATCCGACACACACACACACCCCCTCCATGCATATGGTAGCCAAATATTCTGGCGTACTTCCAGATGTGCCATAACTGTGAATCACAGCGATCTTTGTCAGGTGGTTCGTTCAAAACAGACAAGTAGCACGACTAGCATTACAGCAAGCAACACAAGGCAACATTCCGCCTGCCACTGCTGCAACCCGATAAACTTCAAACAGGTGAACCATGCAAGGTAGTCCATGACGTACGTCACTTCCGCCGACAGTGAACTCTCACTGCTGACGTTCAAGTGCATTCCTCAGTCACTGCAACTGCTGAAAACGCGAACGATCACGTGATGTGTATCCCACAGAACAAAACTGGATCATTGACCAAATAAACAGACATGTCAAAAAGGAACATCCTGCCATGCCTACCGCACGAAATGGCGGCTGACGAGAGGCCGACATCAAGAGAGAACGAGAGAAAATGTTGCCCTGGCATGAACATAATAAATAAACAGGCCACGACAACGTACAAACTGTGGCCCTTTGGGCATTAAGAGTGGTAGAATACGATAATTCTCAATTATTTGTTATCATGTGAATGCGGAGAACTGGAATCGTGTCACGTAATTCGAATTGTACTGTAATTGCCAACTAGCCAACGTAAAAGGCACGTTTATATAGCGGGAAAGTACATTTCCTCGACTTGTAAAACAGTTCAGATACTGCAGCTTAAAATCCAACAATAATAATCACCATGGAACGAAGCAGGAACGGTCGGAGATTTTTCTCGGTGTGTGAAAGAATATAATATGAAATCACCTGTCAATTCTAGCAGCCCTAACAGCAACTGTAATTTCACGATTTAAAAATCAAATTCCATCTTCTCGGGGTAAACAGCTATATTTCCTTGAAAAACGTTAATCGCTGTAAATTTGAGACAGTGATATGTGTTCTTTTCTTTGGAGTACCGCCAGAATGTTAAATATAAATTAAATGAACTTAATCAAAGGGTTAACACAGCTTTTAAAACATTTCCAACGCCGTTAAGAAACCAACGCATTGCTTACATACACAAACGAGCCAAACTTTTCGCGCTACTGAATCTGATATTACGTCGACAAACCTGTATTAGAACGTGAATGTAAAATACGGAGAACAACCGCGGGAAATCAACGCAACAAGCTAGATACGTAACAGCTGCTGCTGCTCCAGGAATTCTCATTCATACACAACATTCATATGGACGGGTCATGCTACTTCCTTACTCATGGATGCATCAGGCTGGCTGCTGCCTTACACGACGACGACGCAAGGCTACACACAGCGCCAGCAGATGTCAAAGCCTCCACGAAGAGAACGGGAAGACATTGAGAAGCTAACACGCATTGAGCTGATAACCCGAAGGTTCATCGCCGTGTTCACAACAGTAAATGGCCCCTCTCCTGATCCACATGAATCCAGTCCACGCCCTGTCCTATATATGACACCTTAGTATTATCCTCCCATCAACGCCTAGGTCTACCAAAGAGATATCTTACCTACTTATTAGAAGTAGACTTTGTAAAAAATAAGATTAAGCAACTTGCGACACAAATACGTTTTTGCATGTTGGCCGGGAGTTGGATGTAACAAATTAAAAGTTTTATTAACAATAGTACTCTGTAAAAAAATGCATT